AGGGAAGGGTCCAGACCAGGGAGTTCTGGGAAGTTGGTACGGGTATGTGGAGTGAGACTGTGTTTTTAACAAGTTTCTGACAGCTGTTCTCTTCCTCCTGCAGGAGATCCGCGTCCTCAACGCCCACATCTCGGACACCTCCGTCATCGTCAAGATGGACAACAGCCGGGAACTGAACATGGACTGCATTGTGGCCGAGATCAAGGCTCAGTATGATGACATCGCCACCCGCAGCCGGGCTGAGGCCGAGTCCTGGTACCGCACCAAGGTGAGTGGTCAGGACACAAGTCCTTTACATATATATGGCAGTGGGAAGAATTTGAGGCTCTATCAGAGAAGGGTTCCTTCACCCGAAGAACTGAAAGGGAGGTGCTGACTGCTCTCAGGTTGAGGTGCGCTGCCTGTGTGGTTGCACAGTTGTTAGTGATGTACTCGGTGGGTAGGTGTTACATCCTAAACCTCACAGGTTTCTCTGCTCCGCTGCCCCACAGTGCGAGGAGATAAAGGCCACAGTGATCCGCCATGGGGAGACTCTGCGCCACACCAGAGAGGAGATCAATGAGCTGAACCGCATCATCCAGAGGCTGACTGCCGAGATTGAGAACGCCAAGTGCCAGGTATGTGTCAGCTGTGCCAAGACCAGAGCGGTAGGGGGCTTACTCAATGCACATATCCTGTTTGGATCTTACTGTTAGTCTACCCCCTGTTCATGTGTACAGAGTCCCTGATCATGATTACTTAGGTTGACCCAGTAAATCAAGAAAAAAATTTTTATTTGGGCGGTATTCCCAGCTGTTTGCAGACTAAATAGATCCAGCTAACATACAGAGACCAAGGGACCATTACCCATGTCTTTCTCTTCTTGGTCTTCAGAACTCCAAGTTGGAGGCAGCAGTGACCCAGTCTGAGCAGCAGGGTGAGGCAGCACTCAATGATGCTCGCTGCAAGCTGGCTGGGCTGGAGGAGGCTCTGCAGAAGGCCAAGCAGGACATGGCCTGCCTGCTCAAGGAGTACCAGGAGGTGATGAATTCCAAACTGGGTCTGGACATCGAGATCGCCACCTACAGGCGCCTGTTGGAGGGCGAGGAGCAGAGGTGGGTCCTGTAACTTTTTATTCTCCTAACACTTCGGGGTTCTCAGCAGAGTCCCACACCTTGGCTACCTGTCAATCCTCACTTCCTCACCTCACCATCCTGCACGTGGACAGGAAATACGTGTAAGTCCTTTGATCTCATCCCATCTCACTTTCTCATGCTGACCTGTCCCTAAGCTAGGATGGCAGCTTTTGCAAAGCTGACCTCAGAGCTGCTTGGAGGCAGAGAAATACTGATCTTTGCTCTTGGAAGGCCCAGCTGGTGACTGTAGTCCATTCCTAGGCTGCTGTTTACTTTTTCCCCATCTTGGTCTGCATGCTTATCCTTAACTGGCCCTGCCTAGCTTCATTCCACCCTGAAAATTCATATTTATTTCATCTGGCACCTTCTGATGGCAGAGCCACCGATTCCAGCTTCTCACTTTCCCATGATAGCGGTGGAACTGAGGGCAGCAGAGACCTGTCCCTTATGGCAGGGTTAGGTTTCCTCAGGGACTTTGCCTGTTTACACGCTTTGGAGGTGGGACAGAGAGAAAGCCATTCAGCCTCGCTGTGGTGAAGGTGGCTTATAACCACATTTCCTTAAGGACCCTGTTCTAAACCAGGAGCTCATTCGGCACCCTTGGTTTCTGTGCCCTGGTTGCTTAGTTGGTATACAACTGGCGTCCAGGGTGGGATGCAGATGTAGGCTCTTTGTATCGGGGAGATTGAGAACGTAGGTTTGGTACCTGGAAGTCTGTGTAATTACACGAAAAGACTCTGAATCCACTCGGGTAACTTGGGGAGCCCAGAGGTACTGGGAGATGGGGGCCAGGGGAGGAATTTTCATGTATTGAACCAGTACCTCTCCACCACACAGGGGAGAGGATCTGTTACTTAGGAGACCTGAATATAGGGTGGGGATACAGCCTTTTTTCCCTGAAGCTGTTTGCCAGCCCTTGGCCACTGTGTGCTCAGGCCAAATCTGCCCTGTTTCCCTCCTGAAGATAAAGCCACATGGGAAAGAAATGCAGGCCAGGTGGAGTTCGAGCTCTAGCCCTTCACCCTCTTTGGTCATTTCCTCTGTGGGCTTCAGTTTCCCTCCTGTCTGATGAGAGAATTATTGTAGGTAGTCTTGGAGCCAGTTCTAAGTGGATTCTAGTATTTTAGTTCTTAATCCAGGAGGCAGTTATGCAGACAGGTATTGTTCAGACACTGAGAGCAAAAAATTCTGCTCTCCCTTGGGCCTAGATTGTCATGATGACAATTGGCCAGGATTTAGGTCATATCTGTCCCCTTGAATGTACTTACAACTCAGACCTGCCGCTGAAAAGCAGCAGTTAAGACTTCTTAAGAGCCCCACTAGAACAGTCAGATCTTTTGGGGAGGCCCCTCTGGGAAGGTTAAATCTCAGGGTGCACAGCTAATAATATGAAGCCTGAAGGCTTGCACTATCCTCAGAATCCACAGTGTATCCTGGGCTACCCTAGCTCCCGGCTTCCCTGTCCCTTGAACCCTTTCCCTTGGGCAAGAGCCCAGGCTAGCCCAGGATGTCACTTGTCCTATGTGTTCCCATGCACTGACATCTTTCCTTCGTCTCCCTACAGGCTGTGTGAGGGCGTTGGCTCCGTGAATGTGTGTAAGTAGTCTGAGCCTCCCTTTCTTCTGCGGGGTGGCTGCGGCGCCTTCTGGATGGTGGGCACTCGTGCTTGCTGCAGAGTCCCCTGGCCTTGGCAGTGCTTGACCAGGTGTTCCGTGTTCTCCTTGCTTTCAGGCGTGAGCAGCTCCCGCGGTGGCGTCGCCTCTGGCGAACTCTGCGTCTCTGGTACTGCCCCTGCTGTCAACACCAGAGTCTGCAGTGCGCCGAGCAACGGCAACGTGGTGGTGGGCACCCCCAACGCCTGCGCCCCCTGCGCCGGGGCGAGCATCTACAGCGGAGGCTGTAAGAAGTGCTAGGAGGTCACAGCGCTGCAAGCCACCCTACCCAGACCCAGCCTTGTGCAAGGGACAGCCCCGCGGGACGGTGAACTGATGTGTTCACCCCTCTGCCACCCGTCCTCTCAGCGCCCCAGCCCCGGGCAGTGCTGGTACCTCGGTCTCGTTCTGCAGCCGTTCCTAGCAGCTTGTCTTGAGGACTCTCCCTTTTCTTCCCTCTTTGTTTATTGCTGGAGTCAGCGGTCTTGCAAGCCTGGAGGGTATGTGGCCCCTGGATCCTCCAGTGCCTGGCTTTACCGGGTCCCTGGCATGCTTCTGCCTGGGCCTGGAGACACTGACCTACACTGTTGCTGGTGTTCTGGTGACCCAGAGCACCTCCTTCCAGAGCTGCTTGAGAAGCCCCTAAGAAGCCAGTGACTCAGCTGCCTGCAAGTGTGTCTTCGTCTCAGCCCACCTTTCCAATAAACTAATTGCAGTGAATCAAACCTGTGCCTCAGAGTCTCCAAAATATTTCCTATGGTGTCTCCAGGTGCCCCTGCCAGGACCTCACCAGCCTCTTGGATGTACCTCCTATCTGGCCTGGAGCAACCAGGCCTTGGGGACATGGAAGGCAGACACCGGGCAGGGAGTCTTGTGGGCAATGGACGTCTCTTACTGAGGTGTTCTGCCCAGCACAGTGCAATGTGGGCTGATAACTGTCTCTTTACCTCCCTGAGCATTTTATTTTGTAGCATTGTTGGCTTCTTTAACCAGGTGGAGGCAAAGCTGCCCTGCCCCTTACTGTGCTAATCAAGACTATCTCTAGACATGGTGAAATGTCTGCTGGGGGTTCTCAGACATAGTAATTTTGCCCTCCTCCCTTGAAGGGGGAGTGCATGAGGAAGGGAAGGGAAGAATGGAAGAAAAGCAGTGAGCTGCAGAGTGGGGGAGAGGAGGCGCTCTGGGAGGGAGGTCAGGAGAACCTGCCTCTGATTGAGTGGAAACTACTACCATCTGCTGCAGGACAGTTCAAGCTTCCAGTTCCTCTGCCAGAGAGTAAAGGAGGCTGCGCAGACCTCCCAGTGGGCTCCCCGAGAGGAGGAGAGGGAAAGGGCTTCGTTTCTAGAGACCTCATCTGAACAACATACCAGCCATTTTCCAGTTCTGTCACAGCAGGCAGGACTTCAGCATCTTCATCCATAAAATGGGTTGGTGAAGCCAGTGTTGCTCTGGGAAAGGCTGTCAGCCAGCGACTGCATACAGCACGTCTCTCCAGAGTCTTCCTTTCAAAAATTTTTTGATTTATTTTCTTCTATATGTATGAATGTTTTGCCTATATGTGTAGAAGTGCGCCTCTGTCATACAATGCCCACGAGAGAACTGAAAAGGGTGCCAGATCCCTTGGAACTGGAATTATGGATGGTTGGGTGCTGAGAACTGATCTGGGTCCTCTGGAATAGCAGCCAGTGTTCTTAACTGCTGAGCCATCTCTCTAGCCACCCCCTTTTAATTACATTGTGTGTGTGTGTGTATGTGTGTGTGTGTGTGTGTGTGTGTGTGTGTGTGTGTGTGTGTGCCAGTGTGCCATGTTGGACAACTTGCAGAGGTCGGTTCTCTCCTTCCACGCTACAGATCCTGGGGATCAAACTCGGGTCATCAGACTTGGTGGCAAGTGCGTTTACTCACTGAGCCATCTTTCTGGCCCTGGCTTTCATTTTTATTTTTTTCTTTTTAATATTTTTGGTATTTTAAAGACAGGGTCACCTTGTAGTCCCAGCTGGCCTAGAACTCACTATGTAGACCAGGCTGGCCTTGAACTCACAGAGATCTGCCTGCCTCTGCCTTCTGAGTGCTGGGATTAGAGGCATGTACAGCCAAACCCAGTCAGCTTTTGTTTTTAAAATTAAAAAAAAAAAAACATTTTCAGTGCTGAGAATCAAACTCAGGGCTTGCCCATGCTAGACAGGTACTCTACTGCTGCGCTACTCCTCCAGCCACCATCACCCCTCCCACCCCTGTGGGCTTGTGAGGTAGCTCTTTCCCCTTGCATGGTATCTTTTGGGGCACTAGGATGACTGGAAGTTCCACAGACCTTGCTCTCAGGGCTGGTTTTAGTGCTGGGAGCTGGGAGGTGAGGTGGGGCTGTTGGTCAGGATGTATCAGCTAGGCTCTAATAAAAAGATAGTAATTTGAGCAGAGGATGTTAATAGACTTATTAACTATATCAAAGGACTGGAGGAAGAACGGCTGGTTAATAAAAAAAGCAAAGCTGAAGAATACAAGAAGTGGGGTGAGGACATGGCCTGCGGGCAGAGTGCTTGCCTGGTGCGGTGGCTAGTCTTGATTGTAAAGCCGATTGGATGGAGACTGGCCTAGAATATTTGTAAAGCACACCTCTGGGTGTGTCTGTGAAGGAGTTTCCAGATAAAATTAACTAAAGGGAAAAAGACCAGCTTTGAAAGGGGTCCCCAGCTCACAGACTGGAGGACTGGCTATGAAAAAGGAGTTAGTTCAGGCATTTTCTCTCTGCTTGCTGGCTACCATGACGGGAGATGCTCTGTTCTCCCACGTTTTCCCCACCACGATGGACTGAAACCCTGAACTGCTGAGTCAAAAGAAATCTTTCTTTTTTTCTACTGAAAAAGGAGTTAGTTCAGGCATTTTCTCTCTGCTTGCTGGCTACCATGATGGGAGATGCTCTGTTCTCCCACGTTTTCCCCACCACGATGGACTGGAACCCTGAACTGCTGAGTCAAAAGAAATCTTTCTTTTTTTCTATAGTTTCTAAGGTATTTGTCATGGTGTTGAAAAGTCTGATACATCTTGAATGCTCAAAGCTCTGGGTTCCATTCCCAACAAAAGAAACAAAGGGAAGGGAGGGAAGGAGGAGAGGAGGAGAGAAGAGACTGAACACGCACACACACATCTACAAGCGCACACAGAGACATGAAGAGCGTCTCCTCCCCACCGCCCCCGGCCAGGGGGCTTTTCTCTGACATCCAGGGTTTGTCACCCCACTGTAACCCATCATCTGCCAGTTATCTTCCTGAGGACGTTTGGGCTAGCCTGAGATCTAGTCCCAGGTCAAGGCCACCAGTTCTAGGTTTTGTTACAGCAGCACTTTATTACCAGGTAACGACTTCTCTTGTCCTTAGCTTGTGTAGCATAACCAAAGGCCCCAAAGTTAGTTGCTTAAAACAATACTTTCTGTGGGTTGGTGGGTGACTGTTTTCCTTTTGGGTATTAGCTGGGGCTCTGGATGGCTGGAAGTTCCAAAACACCTTCACTGTGTTGGTTGGCATTTGGTGCTGGAAGTTGGTCAAGAGCTGAGCTGGGGTGATAGCCTCTCTTCTTCTCCATGGCTGTCATTTCTCACAAGGCCCAGGAACAGAAACCTGGAAGGACCCTCCTACAGGTCAGTTGCTATTCTTTTGAATTCAGTGCAGGAACTAGCCTTGAGTGAAGAGGTTGGGCCCTGGGCCCTGTCTGTGCCCTGAACAGAGGTAGATGGAATTACTGGAGGCCATTTCTGGACAGCTGCCTCAGGAGAATTAACTGAGACAGGACACATTAAAAAGTTTGACATGGGGGCCTGGAGAGATGGCTCAGTGATTAAGAACACTGGTTGTTTTTGCAGAAGACCTAAGTTCGAATGCCAGCACCCACCAGCAGTTAACAACTGTTCATAACTCCAGTTCCAGAGGATCTGATGGCCTCTTCTGTCCTCCACGGGCATTGCACAAAATGGGTGCTCTTACCTACATGCAGGCAATACACATAAAATATTTATAAACAAGTTTGACATGGTAAGGCATACAAGGATACTGGTGATGCAGTGTTTTTTTGAGAGGGACACTATCTTTCTTAGCTTGACTCAGGGCTTGACTCAGGGTTCTAAGATGTGGATACTCATGGACATCAAAGGTGGATCTTGGTGTTCATTGTTTCACACCAGTGAAAATTAAAGACATGAACTCTCAGGGACATAAGCAAAGCAGAAGTAGACTTTATTTAGAATTATTACAGAAAAGTGAGAAACTAAGGAAAAGTGTAGGAAATTCCCAAGAGTGAAGGAGGGTTCACAAGGGAGCAGACAACCACTGAGTTTCCTTTGATTAAGGGTTCTGGAGGGCAGTGACAGAAACTGGACAAAGGCGGAAGTAATCTCTATGAAACTGGGTAATTCTCTGGGCTGTCGTAGATTAAGCCAGTGGAGGGTCCACATGATCTATGCAGGTCCTCCTGGCTCAGCAGGGGAGATGATCATGCAGTACGTGCTGTCCACCCGGTTAAGGGCACCTGAAGCCCTGCTCTGTCTGACTCTAGCTTTGACCATGACTGTCTCCTAGTCATCTGGGCAGCATTCATACCCTCTGACTTTGCAGGTGTGTCAAGTGTTGTTAGTTATACTAAGCTTCCTTTGTTCTCACAGCTACTAAGAAGTAGCACAGGGGCTGGAGAATGGATAAGAGCACTGACTGCTCTTGTGGAGGACCCAGTTCAGTTCCCAGCACCCATATGGTGGCTAACAACTGTCCAGTTCCAGAGGATCGACTCCCTCTTCTTGCCTCCGTGGGCAATGCACACATGTGGTACACCTACATACATGTAAGCAAGACACTCATACACATAAAATAAAAATAAGTAAATAAAATTTTAAAATGAAGTAGCTGCTGTGTTGTTATCTCTGTCTACAGGCCAGTCTGGGGTCTCTTCTTGACTGGGGAGCAGGCTTGTTAGAAGTCATCCCCACTAAAACTTAGTCTATTATAATGAGCTACATTATAAACAATGCATTAAAAGCAAGACTACGTAATAAGCAATAATGCCTAGCATGTGTTTGCCAAAGGGGAACGTTCTCATGGAGGCTAGGCAGGTGGCCTGCTGCTGTGGCCTTGTCTTAGAACCTATTTATCTCTCTTTTCTTAAATAATTTATTGAGAATTTTATACATGCATATAAGGTGTTTTGATCAAATCCATGCCCACTCCCTCCCCTCCAACTCCTAAGAGGTAACCCTAAAATCTTTTAAGGACTAGATACAAGCTCCCAAATACTTTTGATATTTTTGGCCTTTGGGATAGAGTATGTTGTTAATAGGCTCAAGGACATGTTGCCTTTTAGCACAGAAATATTTTAAGGATTAGATAAAAGCTTCCAAATATTTTAGATATTTTTGGCCTTTAAAAGAGAGTAAAGGCCAAGGACATTGTGAGTTTTTGACAAGAAACTGGCTACTTTTCTTTGGGGTCTTTTTACCCTAACTGCCTAGTGAATTCCTACCTCCTATTCTTATCACACCATCCTCTGAAGAGGTTACCCAAATTGCCAATAGGGAATTGGGATGCAGACAGCTCTGGCTTCTTCCATGTTGAACGGGGATGCAGGGTGAGGCAACTGGAGAACCCCTTCAGTGGGTCTATCTGAAAGACTCCCAAATTGCATAATTCTTATCTC